GGCGACGCGGACGACGACGTCCCGCCGGACCTGTCGCGCGCGTTCGCCGCCGCGGCGCGCGCCGCGGCGCCCCCGGGCCGCGCCGCGGCCTACGTCGAGGTCCCCGGCGCGGACCACTACGCCGTCATGGACGCGGCGGCCCCGGCCTTCGCCGCGATCTGGGACGCGGCCGAGGCCATGCTCGCGCGGCGCGCGGCGACCTAGGACGACTCACCGGCACGCGCCGCCGACGAGGTAGGTCCAGGTCGCGTTCCGCGCCGGCGCGAAGGGGCCCCAGGCCGCGCCCCGGGCCCGCGCGACGGCCGCGGCGGCCCGCCGCGCCGCGGCGCTCGCCGCGTCGCCGCGGCGGTCCGCCGCGTCGCGCCAGAACGCGAGGCACTCGCAGCAGCTCGAGTTGGTCGCGCCGAGGAACGCGGCGAGCGCGTCGAGCGCCGCGCGCCGCGCGGCCGCGCCGCCGGCCGGCGCGTAGAGGCAGTCCACGGGCAGCACGGCGACGGCGCCCGGGTCCGCCGCGCGGACCGCCTCGAGCTGGCCCGCGAGGGCCTCGACGTGCGCCGCGAGGAGGGCCGCGTGCGCGTCGCCGTCCCACTTCGCGTGGCTCGCGACGGCGGCGGCGAAGTCGCGGCGGAGGACGACGAGGCGCAGCGCCGCGGCCTGTGTGGAATTCAACCACTGGTTTTGGGTGGTCCTGACCAAACTTGAGAATTCTCTAGCTCGATCAAATCGAAGTCGATTCGGCTGATTTTTGGACGAATCGATTGCTCTCGTCGAGTTCTCGAAGCACAGCCGAAGAGCTTGCGTCGAAACTGTCGCATATGCGCACATTGAAGTCGGGTTGAAGATTTGATTTGCACACAGGCCGCGGCGCCCCGGAGCTGCGCCGCGAGGTCCGCGAGGTCGAGGGGCAACGGCGGCCGGCGCCGCGCGTCGACGGGGCCCGCGCGGAGCGGCGCGCCGCCCGCGGGGAAGGACCGCGACTCCACGAAGACCGCGCCCGGCGGCGCGGCCGCGAGCGCGCGCCGCAGCGCGGCCGGGTCGCCGACGCGGTCGTCGTGGAGT